TCACAATTTATGGTCTTTTCAATTCTATGAGTAAGATTTACAAAAAAAACCCCATTCTGTTATGAAGATTTATTTTTTTGCTAAATACAGATCTATATATGATGTAGAAATCAACAGCTGTAAATAGAAGAAAATGTCAATATAAAGCAGAACCTATCGAATGGCAGATTTTCTTTGATTTATAGTTATTTACATACAATTTACAAAGAATTCAGTTATTCATGAAAAGTGGGAACTTTCATAGTGCAAACCAGTCACTAAAAGGATTGCCCATCTCTTTTCCAAATCATTTCTGTGTAAAAGATGCTTGCGCCACAGGGAAGCACCAACACATGGACGCTGACAAATAAATGTATGAACACTGACAGCATAACAGAATCGAGTAAGTAAAATGTACTCAAGAAAAAAAAAAAAGTATTACAGCTTGTCTGCATTACTTTCTGTATTTGTTCTGATGTGTTTGGGGATGAACTTGGTAGACAACACAACTTAACAAATTCACTTCATATTTTCATGATGTTCTCCTTACCCAAAATCGGACAGTTTCAACACTTGGTGTCATTGAGGCAGACAGTGAGTGAACAGGGGTGTCTCCGAATACTTAACATAGGCAAGATGCAATAATTTCATTACAGTATTAGCAGCACAAAAACAGCCTTCAACCTTTCTTCCCACCTTTTCATAGTATTTGACCTCGTAGTCCAAGATGATCCCATTCGGATGTTCGGGTTCTTGCCAAGACAGAGACACGCTGTTCCTGGATGTCCTGTCTTTCCTTATGACTGTGATGGGGGATGGAGCTGTAAAGGGGGTGGGGGGAGGAGGGAAGAGCGAAAAGCAAACTGAGTTTATCTCTGTTCCAATCCTTGGCAAAGAGTATTGTTTCCATCTAAAAGACTCATGAGCACTGGTCTGGACTTGCATCAACACTCAGCAGCTGGATCATAGTCGTAGTACACATGCCTTTAAAGCACACTGGCCTCAAGGAAAATGAGCTGAGATTTTCTCTTAGACTGGCAGACCAGTGGCAAGACAGCAGATGGTTTCTATCTGCTCCTACAGTGTAAGCAATGAAATATATTTGATATACTAAAATAGGGAACAAAATAACAGTGCTAGCTATTTGTTACAATGCTGAAGTATTATCATTACCAGACTCCGCAGAACTCTGATAACATTTTCATACGCAAGTACGAAATGGTGCTGGGATGCATTACGTACAAGGGACTTCTGGTATCCACAGCTAGTAATAACCATCAGCATACTGCAGAATGCAGCCTCTTTTATGAAATTATTTGGTAAGCTCTCCAGATACAAATTGCTCCCATATACACTTCTCCTTTACCACATTTCTTTGAAAATGAAATTTGAAGAAAAAAAAGTCTAAACTGCAGAATAACCTCATTTCTGATTTGTATTAGAGTTAGGCACGACAATTGATTGCATGCCACAGACTCACCCACCACCCAAAAGTTGGAAGTACTATCAAGGTTACAGAAAAAAGTCATAATTATCTAAGATTCTTGAAGAACAGTTCAGCTTTAGACCACCCAGCTCCACGCGTTGTTCCAAGACCAGGCCTAGGTTTCCTGGACTCACTGAAAGCTATGCAATTTTTAAATTATTTTTTCTGTTTCTTTTGGATTGGCTTCCCACTCCAAATGCTTCTCCTCCACGGCTTCAGCCAAAATTCATCAGATGATAGCTTACAGATCACACATTAAAGGTCGTAACTGTCATTTAAAAAAAAAAATCTTTTACCAACAAACAGCCTTTTATCTTAACATGTAAAACAAATGTGTTTATCAGTTCAACAATGTGCTATCCTAATAAAAAGGCTCTAGCTGATCTAAACAACTTAATTTCAGCTGAATCCTACAAAGCTTTTACTGTTCATATAAAACTAGTTGCACTTTACAGGCATTATACATTTACATGCATTAGCCAGTGCCCTTTCTGTTTGGGTTTTCATCTCTGCAAGAGAACTTTCAAAACCCAGAAAAAAAGAAGTTCTAATTAAAATAAATTTTTGAAAATTCCTTCTATGTTTGATTTTGCTAAACTTCCATCGAAACATACCTTCTAGTCTTGAGTCATAATCTAAATGTTGACATCCTCTGAGTGGAGCATCTAGAAAGCTACATACACCCGCACAAGCACATATGTATATACACACTTCCACATTCATTCTAGGTTGAAACACATCCTCTGAGCAGCATTTTCACGTCACGTGGTTCAGAATAGCTTTCTGAGAATATTCAAAAGTTGCAAAAATCTGTGGGTTTTTTTTGTTTTTTGGGTTTTTTTTTTCTTTTTTTTCCCCAGCAGGAAGAATTTACCCTGAATTTAAAAATTACTGAAATCAGATTTTGAAGTGTTTTTCTGTGGAGGTTTTTTGTTTGGTTGGTTTGTTTGTTGTTTTTTTGTTTTTCCAAGTAGAATGGGAAAGAGCGTCTTCCTATTTTACTCAGACTCACCAGATCTATGCTTGCTGAAGAGCTGAAAAGCATTAGGGCAAGGTATACAGGACTGGTTTGCAATGAACATCCTTCAGTAATCCTACTTGAATTCCACATAGCACTCAGGCACAAACCAGTGCTAAAGCAAAAATACAAAGTGGTTAGCTGGCTGGACTGCTCTACTGTAGCCAGCTATATGTTAACTCATATACCCATGCTTGCTGCTTTTATGCTCTTGTAAGTCATTTTTATGTCCTCTTTTTAAGTCAAGCTATTCATCTTTTTTTATATGGGAATAGATTGCCAGGCCCAGTAACCCAGCTGGTAACGCTTCCCATTAAGGTAACATTAATACAGATTTTTATGAATAATTAATATATGATTAACAGAAATGGCTTTTCCCCTAATAAATTATGGTAATTTGTGCTATAACACAGTCTCAGGGCAGGCTGAAATAATCTTGTATGCTCCAATACAGATGTGCTTTAAAAAAAAGCTTTCTTCTAACACAGTATTAATTATTTTGAGCTCATTTCTGCAGATGCTACCAGTAACTTATCTCACAGCAGCTTATTAGAAAAGCATCTCCTCTGCAGTTATCAATAACATTATAAAACATTCATATACTTTTTCTAATCCCTAGGGTTCCCAAGGCTGCTCAGAAATTACACATAGAGTGCGTCTGGAAGCGACAGCATCCCACCGCACGGGCAAACGGAGGGGAGATGGGTAATCACAGGGAGCACGAAGTTTCAGGCACCTCGAATCCCAGGCACAGAACAGATCCGAGTTGTGCAACACAGTGCTGCACGCCAGGCCACTCCAACAGCTACGGAACCTCTCAGCTGTGCAAATCATGTATTCCAAACCTGTTTAAATCGCCATCTTTTCTTAACTAATGGGGATTACAAAAGTTACGTAGCTTTAAGGCATTAATCTTCAGTGCACAAAGGAACAGCGTCTTCAGATATTTTGGTGCTCAACTACCTACTTCTAGAGGATAAACCGCACTATTTGTCTTCAGAGGTGAAGATATGTATTTGTAACTTAATTTTTAATCTTGTCTATTTTTTTTTCATCTTGTTAAATATTCTTGTATATTGTCTGAGTGTTTTAATTTTGAAACACAAAAAACTTTTGTGTTAAAAATAAAGATTCAATATCTGGGTATAGATTTCATCATTTTCCCGCTGTTCCCATCGTCTCTGTGTGTTCACATTGGATTTTACCAGCAGGAGTTGACTTTGATCCCCCCTTCTATGTTTCTGTTGACAAAACAGAGCCCCGGAGAGGACAGCCCTCACCAGAGCCTCTTCTGGCAAAATGTTGGGCTTACAGCTCTTGGAAGCACAGGCGAAACCGAACTGCGCTGCTCCTGGGGATGATTTCAGCCCCTTCCGCAAAAAGAGGAGTAGCGGGGAGCAAGGAGAAATCTCGAAGCGAGCATCCCCGAGGGCCGGCCCTGCGGAGCCTCCGGGGCCGGGGGCAGGGAAGGGGTGGGGATGCCGCGCCCGG